GTATATACTCCCTCCGTTCCAAAATAGATGACTCCGTTTCGTTTCTGTTCTTGTTCTTCTTTTTCATTCTCTTTTCTTTTCTTTTCTTGCTTGTTTACCGGACCAGAGTGTACTTTCTATCGTATCTATTTACTCCGTATATACACATACATGCATGCAGTTCTCCATTAATACACAAGCACCAATTTGCAAATATAGTTTGCGAAACATTGCATCTAATTAATTTTGTTAGAGTTATCACTTGAGTTTAACTCACTTTTATAATCAACTACTCCATCCGCCCCACAATATAAGATCATTTTCAAGCTTGAAAAACAATCTTAATTATATTGTGGGAGGGATTGAGGGAGTATCATATAATTCTACACACTGCTTAATTCTAACACGATTCTACGGCCGTGTATGGATCTTTTATATACTTTATCCATGATAAATGCTTTTTTTAGCTACCGACAGGAGCGTTACCTTTTCATTAAGAAGGGGGAAGTATTTACAAGGATAAACTCTATATTTATCTGATGCATTCTTGAATTCGCACTTACATGCAATCTGCAAAAGCTTATGTCCATTAAAATATGAGCTATCAGTAAACTAAACATGATTCAAAAAATAACAAACCAGAGCTTAAAATTCACTGCATGCATGCATATAATCTCCTAAATCTAAACTATTGAAGGAATATTATTCATGTTTTTATAAATGAGGAAACCAATTACATGATTGCAACAGTTCTGAGATTAAAAAAACAATTGTACGTATGGGCATGCAAGCAGAAAAGAAGGAGACAATTGCTAACAAGCTGATGGTAATATACCAGTTTTGATCTCATGTTGGAATGTGCGTATCAGCTCATGAAGCTAATTTGTCCGTGCCATTGGTCTCAATGAAAGTTTGAAACTAATGTATGTTCCTATTGACCGGCTCAGGATGGCAATGGTGTTGGATTTAAAGTTAAACATAGTCCACTTTTTTTCTTGAATAGAGTCCACTTTTCAAATATTCATTGTTATGGGTTTGCTTAGTTTTTTTAAAGCCTTACAGCACTCTACAAACATTCTTATGTCCTTACAGAACTCTCCAAACATTCTTATGTCCTTATAGAACTCCCCAAACATTCTTATGTGTTCCACTTCAGTCGTACACACTTGTGATATCATCATATAGTATGTGTGGATGCGCTGGTTTTCGACTAATTGAACTAATCATCTTCCATTGACAGGTTTTCTGAATATACTCACAAGTCACAACCATGGCATTACAGTGCTACGTCCCTCTGGTGAAGCCCCAACTGGCCCAAGTCTACATCAGCCCTTCCCTTAACACGATACAGATTCCAGGTATGCATCGTTGGTGTTTTTCTGATTGATTGATAAGTGTTAGAACATCTTGTAATATCATCATATAGAACGTGTGGAAGCACTGCTTTATGACTAGTTGATCCTATTATCTTGCATTGACAGGTTCTCTAAATATACACGAAATAATGGCCCTGCAGAGCCAGTGCTACGCCCCTCTGCTCAAGCCTCAACTGGCCCAAGTCTCGGCCAGCCCTTCTCTCAACGCGATGCGGATTGCAGGTCCTCCTCGCACGAATATGCTCGTTGCATAAGCTAGTAGCCTCTAGTCATTTTTCATCATACTTGCATCATGCCTGATAACTTCTTTTGTGCCACCAATTTTAGTGTATGTTTGAGGAGTAGCGGACTTTAGGGATCGTGTTTTCGTGTCGTTGCTTCAAATGGAAATTTAAGTAACAGATGACAGGTCAAGCGGAAATTTAAACCAGTTTATGATTTGGTAAGAAATTGATATATACTAGTGCATGTTGGTACATTGAGCTCTACATAACGGGGAGCACACAAAAATTACATTCAATCCAAACAGGGCTGGTGTTTGCATCTGTATGCTATATTTAAATAAAGAGTTTCATCTGTCCTCTTAATAATGATACTCCCTCTGTTCTATTTTATAAGTCGTTTCAGACAGCTGAAATTGAGCTGTTTTGCACGCTGTCTGGAATGTCTACAAGTCTTATAAAAGTGAACAGAGGGAGCAAATGTTGTTTACGTGAAAATATGTGTAAGCCTAGCTGAACAAAGTTGAACTATAAGTTTGCCATGTTTCAAAATACTACACAGTTTAGTACTTTTTTCCGGAAACCTTTCTTCTCAAAATAGAAGAAAACTTTCCAGGATTCTGCATTAAAAAAACGGTGTCTCGATGTGATCTGATCATCAGAATGCATGAACTATATTGAATTTTTCTAAGGAAGTATCTGAACGTTGCTTGTCTTGATCTAATTATCTGCAATCCACAGGCTATGGAGCTGCACTTGCAGTGGTGGCAGGAACGACCTTGCTTGGGCCACCTTCTCTTCGATCACCCCAAATAACCAGGAGGCGTCCCTCGGTGGTTTCGATGGCTCAACGCCGCAATGCTAAGGTGTCGGGTCTAAGAGCAGCACACGCTCCCGCGGTTACTCCTGGCCTCGGCTTCAGATCAACAGAGCAAGGTTTGAGGATTTCATCGTCGAGAGGGAAAAAGGATGATCGTTTCGTCACCAGAGCAATGCTTGAGGGTTTCACTGAGCACGCGTTAGATGTCATGGCTCTCGCACAAGAGGAGGCACGACTTTTTTTAGGCCAGCACAACCTTGCAAACGTAGCACGTATCGTCGCACACACCATTGTTATAGTTGCCATGGGCTATGCGCTTGATGAGGTAAATAAAGTTCATTTAGATTTTAGAATCCTGCTTATGTATGTCTAGTTGTGAGTTCATGCTTCGTAAATTTGTCTTGCATCGCAGATCTTCCGAAGGATTTTTCAAGCCACACGTGGTCAAGCGGTTGGTGCTCGTGTTGTGGCAGGAAGCAGTGAAGCTAAGATGCCGACACTCGAGGAGTATGGAACGAATCTTACAAAATTAGCACAGGAGGTACTATACTCGACTGACTGTGCATTGCAAATTAATTTCAACACAAATGAGAATGTTGAAAGAGAAGACATGCCATTTTTCTACAGGGGAAGTTAGCACCTGTTGTCGGAAGGGAAAAGGAGATCGAGAGTGTCACGCAAATCTTGGGCAAAATGAAGAAGAAGAATCCCTGCCTGATTGGAGAGCCTGGTGTTGGGAAAACGGTGATAGTCGAAGGGCTTGCTCTATGCATCGTTGCCGGGGATGTGCCTGAAACAATTCAAGGGAAAACGGTTCGTGCTGGCTCCGATGACATCTCTTCTTTTTTGACTAAAATTTTGACCTGTCTCGTACAAAAAATGTTCTGATCTTGAATTTCTGTAGCTTTAGCAGTCCTGCACGTTTGGTGTGAGATGAACAATTAGTTAGCTGCTCTTGTTATAAATATAGTAGTCTATATCATGTCAGGTTATCAGCCTTGATATGGGGCTTCTGGTTGCTGGTACCAAATACCGTGGAGAGTTCGAAGAAAGGCTGAAGAACCTGATGGAAGAAATCAAACAGAACGGCGAGGTAATACTGTTCCTCGATGAAGTTCACACTCTGGTAGGAGCAGGAGCAGCAGAAGGTGCTATCGACGCTGCCAATATACTGAAGCCAGCATTGGCAAGAGGTGAAATTCAGGTACGCCTAGAATGTTGTGCATAGTTGGTCGATTGGTCGCACCAGCATCGTCAGTAAATGAAATGCGAGCATCTTGATCATTTTTCTTCGCAAAATCGATCGCCGGAACTTTGGTTGTCAGTGCATCGGAGCCACCACATTCGACGAATACGCGAAGCACATTGAGAAAGACCCTGCACTGGAGAGGCGCTTCCAGACGGTGAAAGTTCTAGAGCCCACGGTTGATGAAGCCATAGGAACTCTCAAAGGGCTCCAGGAGGGGTACGAGGACCACCACAAGGTCAAATATTCCATGGAAGCGCTGATCGCCGCTGCTCGGCTCTCGCACCGATACATCAGGTTTCTGAATTCCACCAAATGTTCCTCTCTCTAATGGTTTCAGTATATTTCGGTTCCTTTTGGTCTTTTTTTAACACCATCTTTTGTTTGCAGTAATCGTTTCCTCCCGGATAAAGCCATCGACTTGATTGATGAGGCGGGATCTCAAGTCAGGCTACGACATGGCAAGGTGAACATTTTCTCTCATTACATATGATGGACCTAAGTGTAAACCTGCACGCAGTTTAGTTTTCATGATCCGAGAATCTGAATTTAGAACTGTACTGACACTGACAGTTACCTGAGGAAGTCAAAGATCTTTGCAAGAAGCGTGAGGAAATCATCAAACGGAGGGACGACGCCGTCCGTTGCCAGAATTTCGAGCTGGTAATAGAATCGAAAATTAGTCAAGTACGATTTCGCATTTCGTTTAAAATTTCCATTATGATGCTATGTGATTACAGGCGAAAGAGCTTCGCATGGAAGAGCTGGAGCTCACGTCCAAGATCACGTCTGCCGTGCCGACGGTCACCGAGGCGGACATCCAGCGCGTCGTCTCCTCGTCGACGGGCATCCCCGTGGAGAGGGTCTCCGCGGACGAGTCGGCCGGGCTGCTAACGATGGAGGAGACCCTGCACCGGCGCGTCGTCGGCCAGGACGAGGCCGTCAAGGCGGTGAGCCGCGCCATGCACCGCTCGCGCGCCGGCCTTCGGGACCCCAGCCGGCCGATCGCCAGCTTCGTGTTCGCCGGCCCGACGGGCGTGGGCAAGACGGAGGTCGTCAAGGCGCTCGCCGCGTGCAACTACGGCTCGGAGGAGGCCATGGTCCGGCTCCACATGAGCGAGTACAGCGAGCGGCATGCCGTTGCTAAACTGATCGGAGCGTCCCCGGGCTACGTCGGGTACGAGGAGGGCGGGCAGCTGACGGAGGCGGTGCGCCGGCGGCCGCACGCGGTGGTGCTGTTGGACGAGATCGAGAAGGCGCACAGGGACGTGTACAACATGCTGCTGCAGGTGCTGGAGGACGGCCGGCTGACGGACGGCAAGGGGAGGACGGTGGACTTCCGGAACACGATCATCATCATGACCTCCAACGCCGGCAGCGGGGAGATGACGGGCGTGATGGTCGAGAAGGACATGAGGGAGAAGCACGGGTTCCCGCCGGAGTTCCTGAACCGTCTCGACGAGGTGATCGTGTTCCGGGAGCTCACCAGGCCAGAGATGAAGGAGATCGCCTCCAAGATGCTGGAGGAGGTGGTCCGGCGGATGAGGGAGAAGGGGATGGAGCTGCGGGTGACGGAGAGGTTCAAGGAGGTGATGGCCGAGGAAGGGTACGACCGCAGCTACGGCGCGCGGCCGCTGCGGAGGGCCATCACCAGGCTGCTGGAGGACAAGCTGGTGGACATGATGCTCGCCGGGGAGGCCAAGGAAGGGGATTCGTTGACTGTAGATGTTGACCCCGAGGGGAACGTGGTCGTCCACAACCGACGGGCTGGCTGACCAGTGTGTTTCCACTGTTGCTATCAACAATTGTCAAAGTCTTTCTTTTGTGACCGGCCTTTGGTTTTATGATGCGGGGATGCCTGTGGCTGTGTGTTTTTTAGGGGAAAAGTCATTTTTTATTGATAAAATTCCACAGACAGTGGGATACAAAGTGGGGGCCAAGCCATACATGAGGCCCCTAAACTGAAGTAGTAGTAAACTTTGCTAAACTATGAGCTTCGTAATCTATAGCACGTCCTTTAAAAATGAGTTACAAGAAAAAAAATTGATCTAGATCTGATTTCGCTTATGATTGCTCCATAGTCATGGGAAGATCCGAACAAGTTGATCTAGTTTTTTTTTTTTTGAAACACCAACTACAATGTCGTCACCCACATATATACTAAAGACCGAGAGTCGCAAAGATTCAAGTTTGCGAGGTAGTTTATAGCCCAAAGGAGGGTGGGCCAACATGCAAAATAGCTCATGGGCTGATGTTTTAAGGCCCGGGAGTAGACGTATAATGTGTAAAACTTCATGGGTTGGGTAGGTCACGGCCCATTCGGCCTTGCTGAAGCTCCGCAGAGGTGAGAATGACACCTCACTATCAACAAAAACTTCGTCTTCGGTTGTTGAGGGGCTCGCTGGCCATGCCTGGTTAGGTGATGTTCATGAAGCCCTCGGTTCAGCTGTGCTTGAGAAATACGTATGGCTTTGGTGCCCCCTCTACCGCATGAAACTATCCACTACTCTCGACCGCCTCTCTTTGAGATGGACGTGCGATGGATGCTACGCGATGACAATATAAGTGAACTTGGCCAGTGTAACACGTAGGCAAAACCATCCTCAAAACCACCACGAGAGCCTTAGGGGGTGATTTGTCTGGTTTTGGAAAGTTGAGAGGATGAAGATCCCGGTTTTAGAGGTCAGGGGGTTATGTGGCCAAAACGTGATACTTCTGGGGGTTATATACACTTCTTTCTTTGATGCTGGACCTTGGCGATATTGGCACGACACCGTCTGCCGCAAAATGATTATTGCGACCAAGCGTCGGAGACCATGCAACACCTCCTCATTGGTGCCTCCTCTCAGGTAGGTTTGGCTTTGGCATGGCATGCTTGGGTGGTACCGGGCCACCGCCGGCGCCGCCCGATGACGAGGATTTTCTCCTCTGATGGGCCTCAATCACCTATACATCGCCTACCGGCCATCGGAAAGGCCTCGGGTCACTGGTGAACCTCATGGTACTCACGATAAAGGACCGGCTTAACCAGCATACATTATCGTGTTGGTTTTTAGGAATTCCTATTTGTGTGCTCCGAAGGACTTGTCATAAAAAACGTTTGCATTTGTCATTGCCCCCTAGCGAACGTTCGCCGAATAGCATAATAATACCCGATAAAAAAAAAACTGATGTCCACGGTGCAGTGGTGTCCGTCTCAAAGCCTCTGGCCGCGGGTCCCCTTCCTTCCACGGAAGCGCGCCACCCTCGGCGGAACTCTTCCTCTCGTAGCCAACTGGGTACCTGATTCTGATTGTGGCGCTGGTGGACGTGATCTCTTTCTGTACTTCTCTGTTGCTAATCAGCCCAGCCCCGATCGATCCCCCCGGCCATTGCTCCAGGATCGGCGCCCTCTGGTACGTGAGCGGATCGATTTCTAATCCCATCAATCCATGATTCCATGCATGCATGGCTCCCTTACGTTCTTCTTCCTGTCCTTGATGAAGATCGATCCCGCGGATCACGCCGTTAATTAATTTTCTTACCAAGATTCCAAATCCTGTTCTTGACTGCGCAACAATGCCGATGATCGATCGTCGATTTTCCGTTTGTTAACCTTGGTCTTCTTCTTCGGCAGGTCGCCGGAAGCTACCTGTCTGTCTAGGAATCCGCCGCCGCCATGGAGAGCACCTTGCTGAGGCCACCCGCTCTGGGACTGGGATCGCCCGCCGGGCTTGGAGGCGGCACGGCCGGCTGGAGGTCTCGGAGCGCCACGAGGCCTCCCTCCGTCGTCCCGGCGCTTCCCAGGCCGGCACGCTGGCGCCCCGTCAAGATGTCAGCGCTCGCCGGCCACCGGCGAGATTTTCACACCCCTCCGGTCACGCTCACGCCCGCGTCCGTGTTCTCCGTCGGCGGCGGATTCGGGCCATCGTCGTCGTCGTCCCGCGGGTCGTCGTCGAGGGGCCGACGTCGCCTCGTCGCCAGGGCCATGTTCGAGAGCTTCACCGAGAAGGCCATCAGGGTGATCATGCTGGCGCAGGAGGAGTCGCGGCGCCTCGGGCACCACACGGTCGGCAGCGAGCAGATCCTCCTGGGCCTCGTCGGAGAGGGCACCGGCATCGCCGCCAAGGTGCTCAGGTCCGCCGGGCTGAACCTCAAGGACGCCCGCGCCGAGGTGGAGAAGGTCCTCGGGAGGGGCCCTGGCCTCATCCCCATCGAGATCCCCTTCACCGCGTCGGCCAAGAAGGTGATCGAGTCCTCGACTGAAGAATCGCGCCAGCTAGGTATGTTTATGCCCCATTGCAAGTTCATCCAAATAAGATGTTCTTGCGTTAGGTTATCTTTTTGTTATTAGTGAAGTTCTTCTCTTGATTTATTTATCAGCACAAACAATTTTGTTAGGGTCTGATTTGTTTTGTCCACACATATGGTTCTCATTTGCAGTAAAATTTCACCAAAATTGCAGATATTCAGTAGACGTAAGAGTATTTGTATTTGGGTCGAAAATTGCATCGCCGTCAAAATATTTCAGTGAACGTGAATTTTAGCAGAATTTAAACAGAGCTCAAAATTTCATCCAACTTTGATTGTATTCGGTCAAATTCAAGGGGAATTTTTTGTCATTCGGCCGAACTGGAAACCGAAGTACAATGTCGGTGATTTCAGCGATGGTCCAATTCTGATTGAAATCGAGAATATGAACAGTGGTCAAGACAATCATTAGATAGAATGTACATTATGGTTAACTGCAATCCCTCTCATCGAATGTCCTTCACGAAATATTAAACATTCTGACTTTCTTTTAGTTTTCTTACCACGCCAGCTAGGTATGCCCCATTGCAAGTTCATCCAAAGAATATGTTCTTGCACCAGCTAGGTTATCTTTTTGTATAGTTCTTTGCTTTAATGCTGATGCACATCAGCGCAAAGTATTTTTTAGCGACTGTTTTGTCCACACATATGTTTCTCATTTTCAATATAATTTCACCAAAATTGCCCACATTTCAATAGGCATAAGAATATTTGTATTCCGTCAAATTTGCATCACCATCAAAATATTTCAGTGAACGTGAATTTCAGCAGAATTTAAATATAACTCCAATTTCATCCAACTTTGGTTATATTTCAGTCAAAGTCAAGGGAGAACTTTTGTCATTCAGCCAAACTGAACCAAAATAACAATGTCGGTGATTTCAGCGACGGCCCAATTCTGATCGACATCGAGAATATGAATCATGGCCAAACATTCCATAGATGCAAAGTACAGCATGGTTAACTGTATTCTCTCGTGATAGAATATCATTCGCGCATTATTAAGAATTAGGAGTACTTATTTAGTTCTCTCATTATCATTGTTCTTTGTTGCTATTGTTGCTACTGCACATTATACTTTCTTAAAGAATTTAGACAGTCGGTTATTCATTTTTAGCACTAAATCGCCTTAAAACTGTCCAGGGCATAACTACATTGGAACGGAGCACTTGCTTCTTGGGTTGATCCGTGAGGATGATGGTGCGGCAGCCATTGTACTCAAGAACTTTCAGGCTGATCTCGGTGACATACGCAACGAGGTAGCTTTACACTGAGAACTGCTGACCAAACGGTCAGTCTTTTTTTACTTCCATTCTCAGTTGGCAGCCTCACAGCTATGAGTTATGTGTTGCTTCTTTTAGGTTATCAAAATGATTACCGACATGTCTGAAGATCAAACTGTCGGTGCCAGCGTTGGGGGCGGAAGCAGTGGAGCCAAGATGCCAACACTGGAGGAGTATGGGACTAATCTGACAAAATTAGCACAGGAGGTACTGAACTAGGCCCATCGTGTCATAATAATAGCAGTAGTTCAGAATGCAAGGAAATAGAGTAAATAACTTGTGAATCCTGATATTTTCTGTAGGGGAAGCTAGACCCCGTCGTCGGAAGGAACAAGCAGATCGAGCGCGTGCTGCAGATTTTGGGGAGACGAACAAAGAACAATCCCTGCCTAATTGGAGAACCCGGTGTTGGAAAGACGGCTATCGCGGAAGGCCTTGCGCAGCGCATTGCCACCGGGGATGTGCCTGAAACAGTTGAAGGGAAAACGGTTTGTGTTCATCACATCTCTTGTGCTAAATATGCTATGATATTGGCTCTGTGTATCTCCTTTTACACAAAGCGAAGCCGATATGAGGCATGAGGGAGTAGCTCTATATATGTCTGGTACACAAAGCGAAGTCGATATGAGGCATGATCACCATTGGCCATGTTTTCTTTTGTTTGAGCCGTCCTGGATTTTGTTTGACATCACTAGGTGAGATGAATAATGGATCTTCTTCTTGTAACCTGTCATGGTAGGTTATCACCCTTGATATGGGACTTCTTGTTGCCGGGACCAAATACCGTGGAGAGTTCGAAGAAAGGTTGAAGAAACTGATGGAAGAGATCAAGCAGAATGGAGACATAATACTTTTCCTTGATGAAGTCCACACTCTGGTGGGAGCAGGAGCAGCAGAAGGTGCTATTGACGCTGCTAACATTCTGAAGCCAGCGTTGGCGAGAGGCGAACTTCAGGTACAAACCGATACTTATCTCAACAATGTGTCCACTTTACTCATCTGAAGTCTCGACAATTTAATACAAATTTGGAAATTTTATCAGTGTCTTGGAGCCACTACAATCGACGAATACAGGAAGCACATTGAGAAAGACCCTGCGCTGGAGAGGCGCTTCCAACCCGTGAAAGTTCCGGAGCCCACAGTTGATGAAACCATAGGAATCCTCAAGGGGCTCCGGGAGCGATACGAGATCCACCACAAAC